ACGAACCAGATCCCTGCCTTCATAAATTTTTTTTATTTGGATACATTTTCACCAGAGGTGACTTTTTTTTAAATAATGGGGCACATTACTCAGCAGTCGAGGGGCTGTGTAGCAATACTAGATGCCAACGTGTTCGATGATGTAATATAGTCAAGCTGGAAGGAGAGGATTTGCTTTTGAAGTGGAGATTTCATGTACGTAAGGCCGCAAGTACGGAGATGCCGGACGTCATTTCCGACAGAATTTGATGAGGAAAAGGTTAATTGCTTCAAATTTAGTTTCGTTTCCGCTCGGTTTTTCCACTGGAGCACGTTGAATGCTTTACGTGTGGACATTTTGTAACCTTTGCGACAAGATTTTTGTGGCAGGCATGTTAAGTTTGGAGAGGTTTGAGTCGACCGCTGCTGCCAGTATTCTGTCAGCATTGTGCCGCCTTGAGTTAATGAGTGCGCCGCCGCAAGACTGCGCTGTAATTACTATAGTTTTGTACCTGCCGCTTTCTCGTGCCCGCTAGCCGTTTTAAGTGCCCACCATCACCCGCTTGACAGACAGCTCGGGCCAAACGGGCTTCGTCTAGCTTGAAAATTGATGCGGATGAGTCAGAGCGAGTGGGTGAGCATGTGAGGAGCCGAACACCGAGGACACGTTGACAAGGAGGAAATGCTTTTAAGGATGGCTGAAGTATCGTGTGTAATGTCCTGATAAGCATTTTTTTTTTCCTTTCTAATCTCACACCTGTTCTTTGTTTCTTTTACGACACAGACGCAGTTCTTACGCAGTCGTATCATTTTCCGAGCAGGATCAGGTCGTTTTAAAACACAATATCTTGTAAAACCGGTGGTGCGTAAAGCCTTGTAACGAATGGATGCAGAGAAACAATCAACAAGCAAACTCCACATAACCTCCTCGTTAGAGGTGGCAGGCACAAAGAATACAACCGTAATTGTTCCCGATCTCCCCTCCTCCCCAAGCATCTGCCGCCTTGATGAAATTCTGCAGCCTTTGGATTTGGCAGCGTCATGCGTCGTTACGCAACTCCTTCGCTCGAGCTTGGAAGATGAAGTCTCGCCTATTTGGTTTTGTGTGATTCCGTAATGAGGTGTGTGTTCGGTTTGCGTGCGCGAATGCGCGTGTGTTGAGACTGATGGAGTTGACGTGCAGGAAGTGTGCGCGGCAGGTAGAGCGCTTCCACCTCATCAAACGCGACCCTCTTGCCCCTTTCCGCCTCTCTGACTTTGCCTGCACACTCAGCGGGAATTACATTTTTTTTTTTCCACTGTCGCTTACTCTGAAACTTTATTTGCAGTATAACAAATTTTCCTCAGTTGCCCTTAGCCTCAATTTAATCTTAGAATGGATTTACAGTCACCATTGTGTGACACTGTCATGTCAGTGTCACATAATGGCAGCAGCAGGTCATAAAAAGAGATACAAAGGGACCGTATGTTGTAAAGGGTTTATGGAGCTGTATGATTGCAGTTCCTTACATAACTGCACATTTAAAAAAATTTTAAAAAAAAAGCATGTTTCATTTTACTCCCATCTGTGAGTAAAATGTTCCAATTTCCTCACTGTTTCCGCAGCTTCAAAGTCTCGCCGCCGTCATGTGCGCCCTGTCAAAACACTCGAGGTTGCATTGACTGCATAATGCAAAGTGCTTGTTTCGCGTGCTGTGTCGCCAAAAATAGTAAAATAAAATCATTCCTAAAAAAAAAAAAAAAAAAAAAACCCTGGCTCAAAAATGTTTCATCCGAAGCGGGTTATTGAAAAGAATGATAAGGAGTGTAAGTGACGAGCTCCTCTGTGGCAGATTAGCGACGGCTAAAGATGATTTACTTATCGGGATCGCCGTGATTGGCAGACAAAGACCCAGAGGCGATGAAAGTGGTCGAAAGAAATGAAACAAGCTTTCCTAATCAACCTCCAGGCATATTTGTTTTTTGTTTTTTTTTTTTTTGGTCCAATATGGCTCTTTGAACATTTTAGGTCGCCGAGCCCTCCTTTAGACTAACCCTGATGTGAAAGGGTTCCAGCATGACTTTTTTTCCCCCATCCCCCTAGATAATTTGTTCACGTTTCACTTTCTTTTGGTGGAAAATAGGTCCCATTAATTTCGCCCACACCGTGTTACACTCAAGACCACTGCATCTCATGTGTGAAGTCGCCGCCCCGAAGGCATCCTCGCGCCTTGGCGGCTTTTCGGCGCTGCCTCGTGAAGAATGACTGCAGTAAATTGGCACAAGGCTGTGATTGGATTATTCATGACCAAAGGATGAGGAGTACATCGGTTGTATAACTGCTCTTTTGAAAAATACATTTTTCACGCTGCTCCGCTCTGGAGTGCGTCACAAGATGAATCTACCCCCAGAGCCAACATTCGGCGAGACCTGAAAACGGGCGGCTTGTCAGCATCCGGCATTTGAGGAATGACATAAGTGAAGTACCCACTGACCCTTCGTTATTGGCGCATCCGTTCATCCATTTTGTTCAACTTTCTCTGTCAGGACCAAGGCCAATGGCTGAAATAAATGTTTTTCTTCTTGTGGGGCGGTATGAGAAGCCTTCTTCTCTCCTGACTGAAGTGTCAGTTTGAAAAATGTCACGTGAGGTAAAGTGAGAAGTACCAGTGGCCGTAATTCACATTGCAACGGTTAAGAAATAATTCGGTGGAAATTCAGACGTGAGTTTAGCCTACCGTTGAGTGGTTCTTTGCCTTAAAATCTGTTCGGATTTGGTGCATGGTCTGTTTTTCCTGTTATCTACCTGAGGGGTCTATCATCACTTTTAGGGCGTTGAACTACATTTCCTCGGGAGATGAATCGGCAGAATTGGCAACCAATGGTTGTGGAAGATACAACAAAGACAGTCAAGCTCGAGATCCCATCCGTCAATGTCAGATATGTGTTTCTTGCCGGCCGTGACCTATGAATTGTCCCTGCGGGTGGCGGCCACACTGAGTTATGAGAGCGATCAAACTTGCAGCCTTCAGGATGTGGGGGTGTTGCCGTGCAATCATGGGGAATGGAAGACCCCCCCCACCCCATTAAAAAAAAAATACCCTCTTGTTCATCTTCCTTCCCATCCAGAGATTTGTACGTGCTGTCCATGAGCTCACCAGAGACAGTCGCCATGTTCGGGTTATGAAAGGTGTCCGCGCCATTAAATAGGCTGTTTGATCAGTTGGGAAGCTTTAAAGCTCAACTACATGCCCACAGCAGGCGAAGGAGGGGGAGGGAGGGAAGGCGGTGGTGGGGAAAGCTTTGGTGCCACAAAAGTAAGTGTGTGAATCGGAAGGTTTTCGAGTTATTTTGGCAGGGCTGGATTAGCGTTAGCTCTGCCTGAGTACTTTGCAACAAAAACATTTGTGGCGTGTGAAGCTGTAAGATGCGGTCTCATTTCAAAGGAAGTACTTCCTCCTTTTTATTTGTCGAGCATAGTTTGATGGGCTCGTTTCCCCCCCGATACAGTTTGCCATACAATTGTTGACGAAATGGCAGCACGTCTGCCCACACCATGTCTCGCTAGGATGAACAACAGATGAAGCTTCCAATTGATTAATTGATGGATTTGTCCGTCCGGTGATCGCAGCGCACAAAGGCGTCCTTTGATTTCGGCTTCATGACCCGTGCTGTCCCGTAACCTCACCCCACCGCCACAGTAACTCACATTTCACATCCACAGCTTTCAGCTATTCTTTGACCGTGACTTTCCTCATGTTGCCACTCTTCCCTTGGTCACTCCCCGCAATGCTAACCCGTCGCAAGGGACCGCTAATGGCTTCTTCCTAGCGGCAGTGCGTTTTAGCAAATTGAAAGTGCCCCCACTCTTTTTTTTATGGGTTGGTTGATGGTTAGAGTGACTGATGCATCCCCGGCCATAATCAGCCGATTGTTTCTTGGATGGCCAAAAGGGAAAAGTGAGGTGGACGGGTTCTGGAAATGGGGAGATTCCATTTTGGCCGTCCTGGCCTGATGGAAGAGTGAGGCAGCACATAAAGCTCTTTGTTTGATTTGTTCAGTTATCGCAACTCGTTTGCTTGCCCCGCTAAGCTTTCACAAGACCTTTTGTTGTTGTTAATTAAGCGGCTGTTTTGTATGCTGGTCCAACAAGCGAGAGGGAGTCTTATTCCTCCTCTTTCCCGCCTCAGAGGTATTTTGTATTTCTCTAATGGGCTGTGTTCCATGCAGATGAGCTGTTTAAATGTATATTTGTTTTACTGCCTCCTCCTCCTCCTCCTCCTCCTCAGACAATTACATTCCCCGATGCGCATCCCGGAGTCAATGCATTGTTTTTCGGGGGTTTTCACATCACATTGAACGGCGCTGAAATTGCTGTTTGTGAGATCGAGCAAAGCTCAATTAAATGTATCGATTGCTTTTGGGGATTTTGTTGTACTCGCAAGTAAGTAATAGATCTTCACGGAACTTTTCGTTTCAATGGGATAAACATACAAGTGGTTCTGTTGTCAAAGGATGATGATGCCTTCCTAACCTAATTTGCGTCAAGGGCTCAAGTCCTGTAATGCTTGTTGCATTCATTTTGCTGTTTTTCCCTTTATGACTGATTGTTTAAAATGTATTTCATCTCATAATTTGCTCATGAATTAATAAAACTCTATTTGATTTGTCTGAAAAATCCATTGAAAGTACCAATCAGATACAACTTGGCGTGGTGTTCCTCAGGGAAGTGTTTGAGATCCATTTGTTTATATGATATGCACAGTACTTTTGGCCACATGGTGGCGATACATTGATGATATTACATATTCGCAAAACACCCATGCCCCCCCCCCACCCCAAGCATTTAACATATCAGCTTTTAAATGGCACAACAATCAAGCGCTTACACTCTTGCTTCTCACCTCTTGATGTTTTTAAAGGGCAACACCAAAAACGGTGATGTGACATTGCAGCGCTGCTCTTTTCATGGTCCTTTTTGTCTTTTTTTTTTTTTTTTGTCTCCGTCATTTTTGACCCAGCTGTGTCTTCTGTGTGTTGAAGGAGGCAAAACTGCGCGAGCTGCTGGATACCAGCACGCTGGCGGGTAAGATGGAGAACAAGATGCTGACGGTGGTGAGTGGCACCGACATGGTCAACATCACGTACCTGAACTTCATGGCCTTCCAGGAGGAGACAGCCAAGGTAGAGTATAGCACACATGCAAATAGTTGAAGAAACAATACCCAAATTCATTGCTCCCAGGTTCCCCCTTTAATTCTGAATTTTCATTAATTTTATTGCACCCCAGAGCTTAAAGAAATGTTAGCATTCATGCTAATGCTAAACAAGACCAATGTTGTCCTGGCTGGTACACTTATATGATACTGTAATCCAAGGCAGGTCGCCATGGCAACAACTACCACCATTCTCCAGTGTACCATCTCAATGTAATGGCATTTGAAGGTCCAATTGTTTCATATTGTTGCTTTAATCCACTGCATTTGACAATTCTCGCAAACTGTCTTTTGCATAACTTGTGTATAACTTTATTCTTATTATTGTTATTTTGGAGGCTTATGTATGTGTTTCATTTCCCATAGGAATGGGCGGAGGAGCTTTTCGCTCTTGCTTCCAATCTGCTGGTGCAAAATATGTCCAGAGAGGCCTGCCTGGAAAAAGCGTAGGCCATCTCCACACACACACACACACACACACACACACACACACACACCACCAAACCCAACCCCAGTTGACTCGTGTTTTGTGTGTAGAGTAACCCAGCCAATGACTTTTATAGCACGTCTTCGACAGCCGTCAGCGCCGCGTCACCTCCGAGCGCGATTCGATTCCTCTCGGCTAGACTGGCCTGAAATATGAATCCGCCAACAACGCGCGGCTATTTGTTGTTTATCTGTGATCAGCTCTCAACCACGAATGCCTCCCTCTCCCTCTCTCCTGACAGCAGGCAAATTGACTTATGAGACAATAAAAGCAGCCATCGACCGACCGACCGCGCGCTGGGCAGACTTCTGTCGGCTTGTGTCATCGAGTGCAGTGCGAATGTGTAAAAGTGGGGCATGCTAACTATTTGCATGTTTTACGCATGCTCACACGTACGTCGTACACAGTGTACGTACGTCGTACACTGTGTCAAAAATATAAACATCAGAGTAATTTCAGAGTTCACTTCGGTGCCACAGAGGGACCACGCGTTGCAAGCATACCACCAATCGCTTCAGCAGACGTGCAAGCAAAATGTCATCGCAAACGACTTCTTCTCGTATTCCCTCAATGTTGTAATCTTTATATTAAAGAACTACGTTTGCTAATTAGTCCGCAGCACAAAGATGGTGGCAAAACCTGGAAGGGGGAGGGTGCACCCTATGTAATATTATTAGTGATTACTTCAGCTACATATTTTTTATGCAAAGGTGTAAAATTAAGTGTTTGGTTATACATTGTCATTTCTCACTACTCTGTATTCAATATAAAATATGAAAAAGGGTCTAAAACAGTGGCATTATTAGAGTGTGAGTGCCGTAAGAAGTGGACTCTGTAGTGGATATTAATTATTAGCCAGCAGCCACTTAAGGGCCCGGCTCTTGTTGCTTCTATTTATAGCACCGTCTCGGATTAGCCTGCATGGGCTAAACCGTCGTGTAACTGCCAGTGTTTATATACATCAGGCATATGACAGAACGTGTTGAATAGAAGCCTGATTGAAATGATTTGTTGTTGTTGTTGTGTGCAGTTACACGCGACTCAAGCTGCAATTGAACCCTGAAGGTCGAATCCCCGTCAAGAAGTAAGACGTCTCTTCATCCTCATTCTCCTTCATCCTTCTCCCATGCAGGGTTTATGGTCGTGCTTACAGGGAATATATATGGCTGGCGTTAAAAGTGTGCAGGGAGCCAGGGTTTATACACTTCTTAGTGGAACGAGCCAATTAATTCAAACCTTTAATTAAACGTTTGTTTATAAATGCTACACTGCATGTGGGATGGAATGGGGAGTCTGTCTCAGCTGCTCGCATACAAAGGGCCAAAGAGACAAGAAGTTGACACAAATTACAAAAAGAGAAAAGTCTTTCAGAGTGGCACTAATGTTTTTCATGAGATGCTTCCCACATGCTTTCTGTCTTGGTAAGCAATTGTCAAATTCTCGGCTGATGTTTTTGTGTCATCCTTGCAGCATCTTCAGGGTGTTCTCGTCGGACCGCAAGCGGGTGGAGACGGCGTTGGAAAATTGCAACCTTCCCTCGGGCAGAGTGAGACACCCGAAACATTCCTCATTTCTCCCTTCTTTGTTTGTCCTCATCTCTCCTCCTTCTTGATTTTCACGCGTCCGTCAGGGCCGTCGTCTGAGTCATCCTCGCTTGTCATGACACAAGCGCACCCGAGGGAGCCGCACTGATGCAACTGCTTTATTTTTACCCTCCTCACGTGTCACCTCACCCCCTCAAGTGTACAGCAGTCCTCCAGCTAGTAGTGTCTCCGTCCCATCAACAGCATTGATTTCCAATTATGGATTTGTACTTAGTGAGCATTTAGCAAAGTGTTTTCGTGAGTCATGACCATAATTTTTTTTTTTTTTTTTTGGTTGTTGTTTTTGATGTCATTGGTTTTTAAAAGTGTCATCATTGGAGGATTCAATGTGGAGTGCTGAGCAAATACTTTGCTAAGGCTGCCATGAAACCATCGCATCATTGTTTTGGGTTAAACCAGAACAAAAAAAATAATAATAATCACCTAGAACAGAAATGTCCTTAAAGCAAATACACAAAATGTGGCAAAACTAGCTTTTCATTAGCGAGGACGACGTTAACAACACCCCACCCCCATCAACTGAAAGCGACAGTTTGGATGTTTGCAAAGTGTCGGCAACTGCTTACATGGTGGCGCAGACGTGTCGTAAAGTGAACCCTAATGAATGGCCTCTTAATACAAACACCGTGAACACCAAGGAATACAGACTCGCTCGCTCTGATGCTCACACGTGTGTGTGTGTGTATGTGTGTGTATAGAAATATGTAGAGCGAGCAGTAGCTAATTAGCACAAGGAGCCGCAGGAACAAACGTGTTGCCTTGTGAAAGTCTATCGGGATTTTGCTGCTGTTCCTGTGGGCTCGTAATTACAGCTAAATGGTACGCCTGTTAATCCTTAAAACACACACACACACATACACACGCACACACACACACACACACACACACACACACACACACACACACACACACACACACACACACACACACACACACCACCAAACCCAACCCCAGTTGACTCGTGTTTTGTGTGTAGAGTAACCCAGCCAATGACTTTTATAGCACGTCTTCGACAGCCGTCAGCGCCGCGTCACCTCCGAGCGCGATTCGATTCCTCTCGGCTAGACTGGCCTGAAATATGAATCCGCCAACAACGCGCGGCTATTTGTTGTTTATCTGTGATCAGCTCTCAACCACGAATGCCTCCCTCTCCCTCTCTCCTGACAGCAGGCAAATTGACTTATGAGACAATAAAAGCAGCCATCGACCGACCGACCGCGCGCTGGGCAGACTTCTGTCGGCTTGTGTCATCGAGTGCAGTGCGAATGTGTAAAAGTGGGGCATGCTAACTATTTGCATGTTTTACGCATGCTCACACGTACGTCGTACACAGTGTACGTACGTCGTACACTGTGTCAAAAATATAAACATCAGAGTAATTTCAGAGTTCACTTCGGTGCCACAGAGGGACCACGCGTTGCAAGCATACCACCAATCGCTTCAGCAGACGTGCAAGCAAAATGTCATCGCAAACGACTTCTTCTCGTATTCCCTCAATGTTGTAATCTTTATATTAAAGAACTACGTTTGCTAATTAGTCCGCAGCACAAAGATGGTGGCAAAACCTGGAAGGGGGAGGGTGCACCCTATGTAATATTATTAGTGATTACTTCAGCTACATATTTTTTATGCAAAGGTGTAAAATTAAGTGTTTGGTTATACATTGTCATTTCTCACTACTCTGTATTCAATATAAAATATGAAAAAGGGTCTAAAACAGTGGCATTATTAGAGTGTGAGTGCCGTAAGAAGTGGACTCTGTAGTGGATATTAATTATTAGCCAGCAGCCACTTAAGGGCCCGGCTCTTGTTGCTTCTATTTATAGCACCGTCTCGGATTAGCCTGCATGGGCTAAACCGTCGTGTAACTGCCAGTGTTTATATACATCAGGCATATGACAGAACGTGTTGAATAGAAGCCTGATTGAAATGATTTGTTGTTGTTGTTGTGTGCAGTTACACGCGACTCAAGCTGCAATTGAACCCTGAAGGTCGAATCCCCGTCAAGAAGTAAGACGTCTCTTCATCCTCATTCTCCTTCATCCTTCTCCCATGCAGGGTTTATGGTCGTGCTTACAGGGAATATATATGGCTGGCGTTAAAAGTGTGCAGGGAGCCAGGGTTTATACACTTCTTAGTGGAACGAGCCAATTAATTCAAACCTTTAATTAAACGTTTGTTTATAAATGCTACACTGCATGTGGGATGGAATGGGGAGTCTGTCTCAGCTGCTCGCATACAAAGGGCCAAAGAGACAAGAAGTTGACACAAATTACAAAAAGAGAAAAGTCTTTCAGAGTGGCACTAATGTTTTTCATGAGATGCTTCCCACATGCTTTCTGTCTTGGTAAGCAATTGTCAAATTCTCGGCTGATGTTTTTGTGTCATCCTTGCAGCATCTTCAGGGTGTTCTCGTCGGACCGCAAGCGGGTGGAGACGGCGTTGGAAAATTGCAACCTTCCCTCGGGCAGAGTGAGACACCCGAAACATTCCTCATTTCTCCCTTCTTTGTTTGTCCTCATCTCTCCTCCTTCTTGATTTTCACGCGTCCGTCAGGGCCGTCGTCTGAGTCATCCTCGCTTGTCATGACACAAGCGCACCCGAGGGAGCCGCACTGATGCAACTGCTTTATTTTTACCCTCCTCACGTGTCACCTCACCCCCTCAAGTGTACAGCAGTCCTCCAGCTAGTAGTGTCTCCGTCCCATCAACAGCATTGATTTCCAATTATGGATTTGTACTTAGTGAGCATTTAGCAAAGTGTTTTCGTGAGTCATGACCATAATTTTTTTTTTTTTTTTTTGGTTGTTGTTTTTGATGTCATTGGTTTTTAAAAGTGTCATCATTGGAGGATTCAATGTGGAGTGCTGAGCAAATACTTTGCTAAGGCTGCCATGAAACCATCGCATCATTGTTTTGGGTTAAACCAGAACAAAAAAAATAATAATAATCACCTAGAACAGAAATGTCCTTAAAGCAAATACACAAAATGTGGCAAAACTAGCTTTTCATTAGCGAGGACGACGTTAACAACACCCCACCCCCATCAACTGAAAGCGACAGTTTGGATGTTTGCAAAGTGTCGGCAACTGCTTACATGGTGGCGCAGACGTGTCGTAAAGTGAACCCTAATGAATGGCCTCTTAATACAAACACCGTGAACACCAAGGAATACAGACTCGCTCGCTCTGATGCTCACACGTGTGTGTGTGTGTATGTGTGTGTATAGAAATATGTAGAGCGAGCAGTAGCTAATTAGCACAAGGAGCCGCAGGAACAAACGTGTTGCCTTGTGAAAGTCTATCGGGATTTTGCTGCTGTTCCTGTGGGCTCGTAATTACAGCTAAATGGTACGCCTGTTAATCCTTAAAACACACACACACACATACACACGCACACACACACACACACACACACACACACACACGCACACACACACACACACACACACACACACACACACACACACACACACACACACACACGCACACACAATGGCCTGTGTGTCAGTGTGATGATAACCGTAGAACAGAAGATGGATCGTACAGGCCATTGGGATACATCTTCAAAACAATTAATGGACTCTGGACTAAATGATTGGGACTCGTTTCGGGATCAATTGATGGACAAAAGTATTGGGATACACTTCTTGATTAACTCATTCACGATATTGAGGGCACAGTTCCCTATTTTGACAGCAGAAGCTGAAATTTGCTTCCTGGTCTTTATCTTCTACTCAAAAGCTGTGCCGATCTCGAAACCAACGTACAACTACTTTCCGCCTACCTATTTAAATATGTACTCAGCGATTACATACTTGAGCGGCCGTGAATGGCTGGATTCCAGTTTCTTTTTCCTGCCCGAGGAGGTTTACAAGTTCTATTTTGTTTCGATGATGCAACAGTTTGCTTATTTTAACCCCCCCTCCAAAACTTGCAGAACGACTCCATACCCCAAGAAGATTTTACGCTGGAGGTGTACAATCTGTTCCTCAGCAACATCTGCGCCCGGCCCGAGTTGGACCACATCTTTTCAGATGTGTAAGATATTCAATTCTCTCTCTCTTTTATTTCTTCCTTTATTTATTTCTTGCTTTATTATTTTTTTTAAACAAGCAGTTTGTGGGGTAGCCATCGCCTTGGTAACCTTAAAAAAAGGAGGGAATGTAAAACATTGGCAGATTGTGTGGGATAAAGGGCAAGTCTATTTGGAGACTCAAAAGGCGAGTGATTCATTGTCCCGCTTCTCTTTTCGTGACGATCGCTGAAGAGATCGCACACAGAGGCTTTCGGGCCATGTACTTTACTGGAGATTGCATCATTCAAAGGGAAATTTAGCACCCTGTTAATTTTGAAGAACCTTTATATCCTTTCCCCCCCACCTAATTTTTATGGGACGGCTGTTCTTTGGGACATGGCAAGAACCTTAGTTGCTTTTGAATGATGCCAAACTCGAGGCTGTGGTTGTTCCGAGAGAGAAAGAAATTCACGGCATTCGACTGAGGGCAGTCAAGGATGCTGAACAGTTTTACTTCTCTGCCAGGAACGTACCGTTAGAGGTGAAGCATAAATGAATACATTTATTTAAAATTAAGATTTTTTTTTTCTAATCACGTCTACGATTTGATCGTCAAAATTGCCGAATTTGCATATGTCCTTTTCAAATGCACACAAGAGCGAGACAGGAAGTGTTTCTGTTTCTCTTAACATCGCCGGTGTAATGTTTTCCGACACTTCCAATGTGCATTCTAAATTTCCATAATCAGGCTAATGCAATCCATATTTATGGGCTCCATTTTGTGAGTTTTGCTGATCACTTAAAAGTGCAGATTAAAAAAAAAAAAAAAAAGCCCCAGGTGAGCCAAACATTGGTATCAGGTAAACACGGGTAATTGTCTGATTGTCAGATTAGAAAGTTTTCTTCAATTCCCCCAATTACGTCTTCCCCTTCTTGTCCTTGCGGTTCAGGGGTGCAAAGAGTCGCCCGTACCTTAGCGTGGAGCAGATGACGGAGTTCATCAACAGCAAGCAGCGAGACCCCCGACTCAATGAGATCCTGTACCCGCCTCTCAAGCCCGAGCAGGTCCAACAGCTGCTGGATAAATACGAACCCAACGCTGCGCTCGCGCAGAATGGTGAGTAGGGATTCACCTCAGAGCGTGGATGGTCCATTTGCTTAGTATTGGGACAAAATCTCTTGGTCAATTGCATGATCAAAAGTAATCAATCATCATTGGGGAATGTTTGGAGCAATGTTTACAAGATTAGGACCGCATGCTCCGTTGAAAGGAGCGCGAGTAAACTCAAGCTGGTGTATGATGAAGCGCACGCGAGCCCGGCCCGCTTTTTTTCGCCATCAGAAGTGACGAGTGAGCGAATAATTCATGAATGAGCGGCGAGATGGCCACGCCGCAGTGAATCATGAAGTTCTCTCAAGTCGTCGCCGGTGTCAGCCTGCGCACGAGCAACCGCACTCAACCGCCATCAAGGTCAAGGCTTTACATAATCCGCAGAAATCTATTCATCAATAGACTGCTGCCAAGCACTGAGACATCATCTCTCTCGTTGGTGTCGGCATCGGAGTTTGTATTTTTAGGACGCCTGCTGTCAAGAATGACTTCTTTTTTTTTTTTTTTTTTTTTTTTTCATAGTGACATGACGGAATAATATGAATCATTTATTGCAGTTCTTAACCGCGAGGAATGAATATTTAATCCTGGAAATTTACCATTCAGACCAATTTGCACAATCTCTGGAACAGAGATATATATGCATGGGTAGACAGATGGAAACATAGAAAGATAGACGGTGATAGTATCGATCCTCTCATGACAAGCCTAACCAATTTTTTGTCCCGGGTGTCAGAGCTTATTTGATGTTTGTTATTTTTTTTAAATCTCTTTGATATATTTGGTATCTTATGTCAGTGAGGCTTGCCCAATAAATTGCTCTCATCACCCCTAAAGCATGTTATTTCAACTGTAATCTCTGGTGTGTGTTTACTCCTGCTCCTTGGAAGCTCGCCCTTCCCACTCACAAAGATGACATATTTTGCCCCGCGCAAAGTAGTTCTCCCGCCGGAAGAGAAGTGCAGCCATCTGCTTGGCAGAGGGATCCGCGCACTCGTCCGCACGCCCCATTTTCACTGCCCTCAAGGACACTCCCGGTTGTATTTTTGCCTTGACATGTACTGCACTTTTAATGATAATAATGCCTATGTAAATCTGCAATAAACTTATAAATACGAACATGAATTATTATTTTATTTACAAATGATCTGGCCTATTTTTGCATTTTAAAAACCAAACGTGGCCCCTCAAGCCCAAAGGTTTGCCTGCCACTGCATCAGACTGTCCACGTGGACCCAATATTGTGTCCAGTGAGGCGCACATGCATTGCTTTCCCTATCCGGGATCAGATGTCTGCTTTATCCACACCTCTTCCTCCATTAGTAGCGTCGAGTTCATACATTTTCGCAGCCCTTGACATGTCTTGGATGTTAACATTGTTAAAGGATGGGGAAAAAAGACACCACTCGTCTTTATTTTCACTGGGAGGAAGCCTTTATGTCACTAAATAAGGGATCATTAAATTCTGTTGAGTTTGAAAATTCAGCGCTTGAAGCCCCTTCTCTGAACAACTTCAAATTTGGTCGGCAAGTCCATCATGAGTAGACCCGCAAAAAGATTTCAAGAACCCGTGCCATGAAACCCATTCATCACTTCATGCAGCTGAAATCGGATTATTTTTAACTGGTAAAAATGCCTCCTTTGGGGTGAGCACCTCCAGATGTTGACGACGTTAACACCGTTTCTCCTTGTTTTGTCTCCTGGGAACGCCGAGGTAGTGGTTGGAGAGTCGGAGGGGTTAGAACCTCCTGGTGGCCAGGGGAGCCCCCCGCCACGATGCCCGAAAGCTGCGATTTCACAGACGACAGCCCATCGTTAATTAGAGAAGTGACTCTGCAGAGGGCGGCGCCGCATTAATTAGCGTAAAGTGGCCGGGGGGGACCTGCTGCACCCGCCAAGCGCACGCATCACTTTGCATATTTAGCATCACATCAGAATGTGTGCGCGCATGCTCGGCAGAACGCATGAGAAAATCCTGAAAATTGTCTTCTGGCCGTCTCCCGTGAGAATGTTGATCTCCAGTTGATGGTGTGTTGGTTGTGCAGGTCAGATCTCGGTGGAGGGCTTCGCCAGGTACCTGAACGGCGAGGAGAACAGCATCATCCCCCCAGAGAAGCTGGACCAGAGTGAAGACATGACCTTTCCCCTCTCACACTATTTCATCAACTCCTCTCACAACACCTACCTCACAGGTACCCGCCCACGCACACACATAAACATACACACATACGCACCCTCATTGTTATTCATGAACTTTTCTGCTGTGCCTTGTAACTGCAAGAAAAAGACAAACCATTTTCTTCTCCTCCCTTCAATGGATGTTAAGACTTCTCCTTTTAGTGATTCAATTTCATTGTCGGCCGCTCTCTTTTGAAGTGGATCAGACCGTGGCTCCTCTGATTGGGAATTTCCTGAATTTCCTTAATGGGCGGAATAATGTGGAAATAAGAAAGTTGTTGAATCTCGCACGATATGACTGTGACGACAAGATGGCGGCTGAAATGCGATCAGGTCTATGTTGATGTTTTGTATTTCGCTCGTGTAGCGGGGCAGCTGGCAGGCAGCTCTTCGGTGGAGATGTACAAGCAGGTCCTTCTGTCCGGCTGCCGCTGCATCGAGCTGGACTGCTGGAAGGGGCGTACCACTGAAGAAGAACCTGTCATCACCCACGGCTTCACCATGACCTCCGAGGTCTCCTTTAAGGTAGCGGCCAGGAAAACAACGCTGATACCTCAACAAGACCTGTAAGCTAATCGATAGGTGTCGGTGTGTTTAGGAGGTGATCGAGGCCATTGCAGAATGCGCCTTTAAGACCTCACCTTTCCCTGTCATCTTGTCTTTCGAGAATCACGTGGACTCGTAAGTGAAGTGTGGCAAGCAACACGTGTCACATGTAATAAATAATTGGATCTTAACGTACTGATACTGATTCGGGATCATCTGAATGCTAAGCTACACACAACAGTTGTATGTAATAAACTAACCCAATAGAGCAGTTATTAGCTATTGCTATTATAGTCATCAGTTATTTCCTGAGATCTTGTCTTTCGAGAATCACGTGGACTCGTAAGTGTGGCAAGCAACACGTGTCACATGTAATAATTGGATCTTGTGTTCCTCGAAGGTCTCCTTCCTTCAACAATCAGTAACAACATTTCTCATTTTTCAGACCCAAGCAGCAGGCCAAGATGGCCGAATACTGCCGCTCGATATTTGGCGACGCTTTGCTGACAGAGCCTCTAGAAAAGTATCCTGTGAGTCTGACACACACACAGACACACACACACACGCACACACATACAGTCAGTTTGTGGTCTCACATAATGGCCTGGTATTGACAGTTTGTGTTGGGCGTCTGTCACACTTCAAAATGGCTTCCCGCAGATGCGATACATTCATGCGCGACTTTCTGTTTACACGCCTTTGAATCTTTCATGTTCTTTCTTGGCCAATATCACACAAGGGGCTCACCGTCTCGCCAGCCGCGTGCGATTAAATGGTCAGACGACAAAGTGCGGCCGGCATAATCTCTGCGCTGCTTTTTCTTGGCGGACCCTTATCAGGCTCACTTCTGTTGCCATGGCTACAGGGCCCAAGCTTGCTTTATCCCTCTGTAGCCAAACTCTCCCATAACACGTCCCCACACTCCAATCCAAACGTGACATATTGTGGACTTGAGACGATGATTAAATACCTATAACAACGGAGTATAGCTACCCAGGCAGTCAAAGTTAGCGCCTCATTATAACTGCTTACCCGACTTATATTTGACCTAGTAGCAGCGTAATGTAGATAATGTGACGTTCCAGAGACTGGCAAAGTTAGCATGCCGACACAGCATGTCTGCATGAATAAATGTAAATAGCTATTGTACAACATAATGGAACATTAATAGAGTAAAGTTAGCACATGAAGTTGTATGCCTCCCCGCAGTCCATTGTAAACGCCGCCACAGTTTCCATTCCGATGCAAAGTGAACGAAGTGAGGTTTGTGAGGCTTGCGCTTTGCGCCATTATTCCTCTCTCTAGCCAATCGGAATAACAAAAGCATCTTCTAATGTCAGCTAAACGTGCCTTTTTCTTGGCGTCCCCTTATCAAGATCTCCTTCTGTTGCCTAGGCGACCAGGTCAACGCTCGCTGTGGCCTATTGTCACCCATATCGCCCTCTTTTCTCCAAACACGTCATTGTGTGCACCGACGCAGGGTCATCGCGTGACGATTTTTGTTTCAGGTGTATACAACGCTCCCTGTTTCCATCTGCTCCAGCGGGGGGGACGTCTTTTCAGAAGCAGAAGCATTATCTCCCCTCAGCAGAGGGGCTCAGTCAGCCCTGACACTGGGGATAAAGCGGGGGAATGTAGCAGGGGGGATAGCGCGTGTGCTCGCAGAACGTGATGTCACGGAGTCCAATTTTGACCAGTGGCTGTATAACTGTGGGGAGAAGGTGATGGCAATGACGAGCGACCCTCCCCCCCGCCCCCATCCCCACGTCCCTCCCCCACTTGCGTGCACAACTTAGCCAATATGATATCCGCTCTGGATTTCCTGGATAATGGTTGCTGGGGAGGCGGGTGGCGGCAGATAGACTAATGTGGCCCGATTGGTTCCAGCTGAGCCTGGCGGTGACAATAAAGATGATTGCTGGTCCTACCATCAAATTCACTCCAGGGAAATGTCATTGAGTCGGCTTCCAGGGTTTTTGAAAACTACCTCTTTGGCAACGAAATGAGAAATTGGATTCACCAAATTTCCAGAGTGTATTCGCTTCAACACGTTTTGGGTGGAAAGCAAACTGATTGAGGCTGGCAAAATGAGCGCATCAATTCTTCCGCATCCTCAAATGTCATCACAAATATTGCCGTATTGTCAACCATCAACGCGGGTTGCCTTTCAGTGAATGGAGTGAGGTTCCCCAAATTGTCCCCAAGTTGGCTCATTAATAGATTTGATCAGATATCTTAAATTTTCCAATGCTGTTAACAAATAGCCTCTGTATCACAGCCTATTCAAATATAAAACTCAACATAGTGCTGTGAAATGGTATTTGCTGGACTTTATTTTGTTCGAAATGGCTCATGTCGTATTTGTAAGTCAAGGCGTTTCGCTCTGATCGTCTCTGCTGCCTTTCCACTTGTTTCTCCCGCCCCGGACAATTAGTGCTAATGTCAATCTGTTGTTCTCTCTTAACGGCGTCCTTTGACGTCATTCCTTTTTCTCCGGCCCGATCTGCTACTTGAATTTATCACCGCGTGCGACGCAAACACAAAGATATAAAAAGTGACAGGAAAAGTCAGTCTCCCTTTTCTCTCGTAATAAACACTTACAAGGACACTTGCAAAGAATCTGTTGATGTCTCAAAGTCGGACACCAACAGATTCTTTCATTATTTGCCTTGTTTTAGAATTTAGATGGTGGGCTGGCATCCGATATCTCTTCTTGACGCCTCACACTTTCATTGCGAGAGAAAAAGCACTTGAGGCATGTGGGGCGGCCAAGTTAAATTGAACTTCCCCAAGTAATTTGAGGTCAAAATCAATGTACTCGAAGCCCAGAATGCCAATCGGGAAGGCATCAAATCTCATATGCAAAGGTGGAGTGAAGACCAGGAAAAATGAACACCTTCATGCTTGTTGTGTTGTTGTTTTGAACTCACTTTCAAGAAAGATTGATGGTTGTGTTGGTTTAAAAAAGGTTTACAGCTCATGTGTCGTGACTCACATCAATATTTCTAAACACTGTCATCGTGCCAAAACGGTTTCCTTCCGCAAGCACTTATCGACAGCAAATTTGATTTACCTTCAAAGTTTTTAAAATGCCTGGTAATTGAGCAGCCGCCCTCTCATCTAGTTGGAATCTGGTGCGCCTCTACCAAGCCCAATGGAACTGATGGGCAAAATCCTGGTCAAGAACAAAAAGAAGCACCTCAAGGCGTCGTTGGATGGCAGCGCCAAGAAGAAGCTGTCGGAACAGGTGTCGAACACCTACAGCGACTCGTCCAGCGTCTGCGAGCCTTCTTCGCCCGGAGCCGGTAGCACATACGCATGCATGCATATGAGCACACTGACGCTGTTATAACGTGCTGCGGTCAGTGGAGGAATGCCGCTCTCGTTGTTTATCATTCATCACTTTCATTGCCCTCTCCATCAGCTGAATGGATTTCATATACTCCCTGTCGGACACGGACACCGCCTGCCCACCTGGGTGCCTTAAATACATAACACACATGCATATGTTGGAGCGGTGTCTCTCCAGCTTAATAAAAATGCATACGGACAAATTGGGACAGTGTCCTGATAACAGAGAGGTGTATTATTACTGGAGTAAAGTTATTCATTGGTCAGTAATAGAACTACTGCTGTGAGTTGTTTTTGCACGCGGCACACTGTCGCACTGTTTAGCTATGCATTAGATAAACCCAAAATCTCATTGTGAGCTATTTCTCAGGACATTGGAAAAGCGTTTTTTTTTTTTTTTTTCGACATAGGGTCCACAAAGGAGGATGTGACAGAGACATCCCAGCCAGTAGAGGGCGCTGAGCTCTGCCTGAGGCCACAGGGAAGGAAATCCATCGGTGAGTTATGGTGGATTATTTGAAGTGTAAGGGGGCGGGGGGTTTGTTGTTTTTTTTTTTGGGGGGGGGTTGCAATGTTGTGGTTTCAAAATGAAGAGTAGAAGAGCGATTTAGTCTATGTAAGCTTTTGTTAAATTGTTAATTATTATCATTTTATGTTTGAACATTATAGTATTGTCTTTGATATTAAAGTTACCTAAATTATATTGTCTTTAATAATTTCTGAAACGTGTTTATGTTGAGAGCGTCTGATTGGCTGAAGGAAACCGGAAGTGTTTTAGTACCCGGAAAAAGGAGTTGTGTTCTCGAACGTGCTGTGGTGCAGACGTCTTTCTTTTCCCTTTCAATTAAACTGCATTCAAAGGATTCCATCTCTCCTTTTGCCGTTCGTAAAGTAGAGCTATCCAGTAAAAACAACGAACCCCTCAACTTGGTCTGTAGTGGACTTTTTTTTTTAACTATCGGAATTATTTGGCACTCATGCAGTACTGCATTCTGCGCTTGCATTTTACTGTGCATGACTGGGCCTGCGTTTCCACCTTTTTTTAACTGTGCATTATTTTTATTTTATTATTGTATTATATAGTATGAAATGATGTGATTTTGGCCCTCATTCAAGGGGAGGTGGAGGCTGAAAGTGAGGACGAGGACGAAGACGACGATGACTGCAAAAAGGGATCCATGGACGAGGTGGGTACCGTGCCGACGCTGCCCCCTGGTGCACCTTTTCGGATAACGCGCATGCAATTACCGAGAGCATGTCAGCATTTTGACCATGTGCATTATTGTCAGGGCACGGCAGGCAGCGAGGCATTCGCCACGGAAGAAATGTCCAACTTAGTCATCTACATCCAGCCTGTCAAGTTTAACAGCTTTGAGGCATCCAAAAGTATGGTCACATCTAGGATGATTGTTTTTTTTTCTGGACTTTGTGCATCTTCATTTGTTGTGTGCCTTCAGAGACCAGTCGCAGCTACCAGATGTCGTCCTTTGTGGAGACCAAAGCTTTGGAGCAGCTCACCAAATCTCCCGTCGAGTTTGTTGAGTATCCTTCCTTATTTAACTTTTGCAGATTCTTCCTTGCATAAAGGGATGAAAGAGCTAAAACTGATGTCACACAATTTGCCTAATTGAACTCGGCTTGAGGTGTCAAAATAGGGTTCCAAGGTATCAGGATAGCTGAGTCCATTCGTATTTTGTGAGCCGTGTTATCCTTAGCCTTGCTTGCTTTGTGAAGATACAACAAATTGCAGCTCAGCAGGATTTACCCAAAAGGCACCCGAGTGGACTCCTCCAATTACAACCCTCAACTCTTCTGGAATGCCGGCTGCCAGCTGGTGGCGCTCAACTTCCAGACCATCGGTAAGAAATTTACAACCTGTTGCGTTATTGATTCTGATTCTGTTCCTGCCCCTGCGTGCAGATCTCTCCATGCAGCTCAACCTGGGCATGTACGAGTACAATGGCAAGTCAGGCTTCCGGCTCAAACCGGAGTTCATGAGGCGGCCCGACAAGCACTTTGATCCGTTTACCGAGAGCACCGTGGATGGGATCGTCGCCAACACGCTCTCTGTCAAGGTGAACCAATAGAACCACCATATGCAGTGGTACCTGGATCCGGGCTGAACGATTTACTCAAGATACAATTATATAGGAAATTAGCGACATATTTAGCGGGGCATCAATGCTTTGCCTTTATGGCTTTCTCGCCTCCCCCGTTCTAGATCATCTCGGGCCAGTTCCTGTCGGACAAGAAGGTGGGCACCTACGTGGAGATCGACATGTTCGGCCTTCCCGTGGACACCAAGCGCAAAGCCTTCAAAACCAAAACATCACAGGGCAATGCCGTCAATCCCGTGTGGGATGAGGAGCCCATCGTCTTCAAGAAGGTGGTCCTGCCCACACTGGCCTCGCTCAGGATTGCCGTCTTTGAGGAAGGCGGCAAATTCATAGGGCACCGCATCATACCCGTCTCGGCCATACGGCCAGGTCGGTAAAAGTTGGGATGAAAAGGGCGAGGGTGTCGAATTGGCTTGAAAGGCCTTTTAGAGGGTTTCAGGTGGGGTTAGGATTTCAAATGAAGATGTCAAGCCTGATTAGTGTTTCAAGTCAGGGTTTCGGTTCCGCATTGTGGTTTCAAAGCTCCATGTGGATCTTCTTCCTGCAGGTTATCATTACATCAACTTGAGGAACGAGAAGAACCAAACTCTGACACTTCCTGCTCTCTTCGTGTATGTGGAAGTCAAAGATTATGTTCCCGACACGTTTGCCGGTGAGCGCTCACTCGGACACGTTTTGTCAAACCCGGCCCCATCATCATCATCATCATCATCATCATCATCCTCCTCACCATGTCCGTCCTCCATGCTCAGATGTCATTGAAGCCCTGTCCAACCCCATCCGCTACGTCAACCTAATGGAGCAGAGAGCCAATCAGCTGGCTGCTCTTACCTTGGAGGAGGGCGGGGACGATGAGGCTGATAAGGAGGTAAGCCACTTTTCAAAATAAAAGCGCTGATACTTTATATTGCACTACCTGTACTTGCTGATTGGTTGAAAGTAGCACAACTTTTCAAAATAAAAACACATATATTTCTCTACATGCCGATTGGGTGCATCTAGTGTTCATACAACCTTTCAAAATAAAACTAGATTGATTTTTGACAATTCATACAAGTTTTTGTGCATTACTCCCGTGCGAACTGAAATTGAGGTTCATTCCTCTGGGGGGCGCCCTTTAGCTGATGTGACTTGTAGTGTGGCCATGGCAACCGTCTCCAAGTGAGCTGAGATGAATGCCAGGCCACGGGAGGACACGGAAGTGAACAGATAAGAGCACTTCGTATTGGAGATGGATGAGTATGTGCAGGCTCTCGGTTACAGGCGTTACAATGACAGAGTGTTCCGGAACATGCAGGAAAGTTTTATTGGTGACCGGGATGATGACATTCGACTTTTTTGTGAAGGTGGCGGTGTCACATCTCTTTTGACGGACAGGTGGAGGCGGGCAGCGACCCCCCCTCGGAATCCAAGACAGACCCCAGGGCCGCGGTGCCTGCAGAGAACGGACTGAGCCACACCTCAATTGCCCCCAAGCCGCCATCGCTGGTTGGACATCAGTCTCAATCTGCAGGTCGGTAACGCCATTGGACACTTTATTAGGTACACCTGTGCATTCTAATACCATCCATTGCCTATGAGGGTATTAAGCATAGGTTATGGTTTTAAATCTTTTTTTTTTTTTTTTTATGTGTATTTATTTTTAGATGGGCAGTATAAATAGTTTATGGTCCATGATTTCATCACATGTTTCCTGAACCACCTCCAGCTGGGTGACATCAATTTCTGGCTCTGTCAAAGTACATGCAGCGCGTTTATGGAGAATTGGGACACTTTGGGTTTTTTTTTTTTTTTTTTTTTGTGAATACATAAATATAGGGTTAAGAGGGGTAACGAAACATTGGGGTTCGTATTGGGATGGGAAAGTCAAATGTCTCATCGTTCTTTTTAGGTTCTTTGAAGCCACCTGTGAAGACTGAAGACATCATCCAGAGTGTCCTCACGGGTAAGAACCTCTTTTTTGTTTTTTTAATACTTAACCTCCTCACCATCATTGTGCGTTTTAGAAGTGGAAGCTCTGACGCTGGAGGAGCTGAAGCAGCTCAAGGGCTTTGTACGGGAACAGCGGAAGCAGTACAAGGAGATGAAGGAGCTGGTACGCAAACACCACCGCAAGACAGCCGAGCTCATCAAGGAACACACGGCCCGCGTGGGCGAGCTGCAGAGTCAGCAGCAGCGAAGGCGCAATGCCCTGCACAAGAGCCACAAACGAGATGGTAAGAAAAGGTAGGTAGCCCTCTTCCTCTTGAACTCCTCGCGGAACTAATGCAACTCTGGCTTGCGCAACATCTCCAGAACCAATTTGTTGTCTGTGTGCAGCCGGTCGGAACAGTCGCTGTCCACGCTGGACCGGGAGCTGTGCGATTTGGACCAGGAGTGTGGCCAGCGTCTTTCCGACCTGAAGGAGCAGCAACAGCAGCAGCTCCTCACGCTGCGCCAGGAGCAGTACTACAGCGAGAAGTATCAGAAGAGAGAGCATATCAAGCAGGTGAAGCATTTACAAATGCACTTTCTGTATGGTTGGTTTGATGTACCAGATGGAAGTCTCTGGCTTCGTTCTCATTACATTGTGTCAGAGATTTTCTCGGACAAGGTTAAAGAAACGACTCGGCACACAGGAAAATTGTCTTCAATATCGACGGAAGCGGATCTCTGAGAGCGAACGACGGTTTAGTTGCTCCGTGATCACGCTCAGAGCCCCCCCTCCTCGAGTTCGAACCTTTATTGTGACATATGCAAAATACAAGAATAACACTGCCCCCGATATTTGCATACCGCACCCCTGGTCTGGCCCCTCGGTGGTGATTGGTTACCTGGGTGTGCGCTTTGAACCAGCGGCACTTTGGCGCCTTTCGGTCTGGTCTACACTGTATCAACATATCGCAGACTTTGCGGACGACAAATGTCGCCTGGGCGCGACGGGTGTCCTCAAATCGTCTTTTGTTGTTCAACCGCTGTTCCCAAATTACTCGTTCCCCCTTTGTGACCGGATCTGGCCCTCTCTCCTCTGATCGCCCACCCGCCTTGATGTGTTAATTGTGGTGTGGGCTGCAACAGCCCTCCGCCCAAATGGCCGGCACCTTCTGAACAGGAATTTGGGGGTGCGAATTACACACCCAGACGCTTCAACGTGCACAGATCAAATGAAACTTTAAACATGATACAATTTCGCCCATAGATTCCTCTAACACATTGTGTGCTGAATGCTCTTCGTCCATATTAAAAACACACAAGGGGAATTAATTAATTCTGCAGTGCGTGTCTGTTGTGGAAAAATTAATTTCCTCTGCTCAGCTTCACCTGCACTCGCTGCCAAGTCAGTTCTTATCAAGTCAGATTGCAACACGTCTAATATGAGGCCTCTGTGAACAATAGTGAAGGCGTGTCTATCATCAAGAGACCCGCAAAAAGCAATGCCTGAAAAGTGACAGGAAGTGTCTGGCCTTTTTGCGTCATCTCGACTATTTCCTTCAACAAACGTCTGTCATGGTTCTGTGACCAACAGGTGGCACTGTAGGGCTTCGCCTGCAGCTGCACACCTGTTGGTCGTTGTGTCACGAGAACTGTCATCTTTGTTTGTGACCAACAGGTGGCACTGTAGGGCTCCCCCTGCAGCTACACAGTTGTCAGTCATTGTGTCATTAGTTGTTGGACTCCCGGCACGATCACTCTGTGTGTCGGGTCATTGTCTCTGTCATGGTCATTGTTTCTGTTACTGTTAGTTTTTTGCTTCAGCCATGGTTTTTGTTTGTTACTTTGGATTCTTTTTGTTGTCACGACTTTGTTTGTTTACAGTATTTTGTTAATACAATTTGTCAACTTCACATGGACAACGTGAAATCACCATGAATGTAGACTTGTTGTCATGATTGTGTTGCGCTGAAAATACCGGCAATTTTTTCTGGCGAAAAATGTTCCTGCAGCTTTAATTCTTATTGCACCACATGATCATTTTCTCTATCTGATTGCATGCAGCTGGTGGAGAAACTGAACGCCCTGGCCGAGGAGTGTCACGGTGCGCAGGTGAAAAAGCTGAGAGACATCTGTGAAAAGTGAGCGCATCATGCAGCATTCATCATATTGCAAACCACAGGAAATATCTCATCCGCGCCCGGCTCTTTCCTTGCAGGGAGAAGAAGGACCTTAAGAAAAAAATGGACAAAAAGAGACAAGAGAAGATCAGCGAAGCCAAGTCGAAAGACAAGAACGTCACGGAGGAGTGAGTGTTGTAGTGTACTGATGTGACCACGAGGTGTCGGTGTTGACAAAGAAATGACTGATTTGGTGCTGCCATTGTTCCCTGCAGAGAGAAGCTGGAGATAAACAGGTCGTTTGTCAATGAGGTGGTGCAGTACATAAAACGGGTAAGAGTATAGACCGCAATGCGTGTGCGTGTGCGCGTGTGTGTGTGTGTGTGTGTGTGAGAGTCACACACACACACACACACACACACACACACCCATAGAGAGCGAGAGAGACTTGGAATATCATTCTTCATAAGTGCATGTTGTATTATTGGTAATCTCACTAAAATTAGACAGCATTTATGAACAAATTTTGTGTGTGTGTGTGTGTGTGTGTGTGTGTGTGTGTGTGTGTGTGTGTGTGTGTGTGTAGCTGGAGGATGCGCAAAGTAAACGACAGGAGCGACTGCAGGAGAAACACAAGGACATACGACAGCAAATTTTGGATGAAAGGCCAAAGGTAAAGAAAAACATTTTACCCTCTGCTGAGAGTGCGGCGTGATGGGTGTTGCACAGTGCAATTTCCGGAAGAGGTAGCGTGAATGGTGACATCACCACAATGACGCCCACGGCAAACACGCACAGAAACATATTATACCTCCAAAGTAGAAATAATTCGTTTCAAGGTCAATTTTAATCCCATCAAATGTTTTTTAACCTTCATAACTAGCATACAAGTGTTGACGTAAATGCATTGAAACACAAATCTTTAACTTCAGCACTATTGCTGTAAAATTATGACTTTTATTGTAATTTTTAGTTTTTGTAATGCTAGTGTAGGCTTTACCCCAGCAACTTTTTCCCCCAACATTGACTTTTATTAAATACAATACAATAAAATACAACTTTATTCATGTTTTCACACACACACACACACACACACACGCACACAACTTTCCTCTGCATAGACCTCAGTTTTAATTAACCCAAATTGTACGTGATTGTGCAATGTTGTTTTTGGTTGGGATTGTGTGTTGAGATGTCTTATCATCAATGTGTTTGCTTGAGTCTTTGTCTCTTCCCTCACAAGGCAAGCTTTGAAATAACACGCGGACACATATGCCGTCGTCACGGCAACTCTGCCCCCCCCCCCCATCACCAGTAACCCCTCCTCCATCCTTCATGACACTCTGCAATTTGCTAATTCGGAAGTGAATCCATCTGTGTTGAGGAGGGAGAAAGTCCCAGAAGTGTGTGTGTGCGTGCGTGCGGGTGCATAGTTGGATGTGCGCATGTCAAAAACAGGTTGGAGCGAGTCAAGATGGTGGCCGCTGTAGACTTTGATCTGCAGCATCTTTGGTTGCCGACTTCATGTCATTATGCGTGTGTGCACGCATTGCAGGGAATTTCCAAAGTTGGTCACCCGCTATGTTGTGCGCCTTTAAAGTCGTTTCACGTGAGCCTGAAGTTCAGTGAGCTTCAAAGTATTTGCTAGATTTTTCTTGAGACCAATTCAAGCACCCCCCTGCGAACAGAGTTAAAGGATAAAGCGGGTCAGATGATGGATGGATAGTTTCCTTTTGCACAAATAATGGTTTCTACTTTGATTATATATTTTTCTTTAATAATCTTAAATTTTTTTTTGTATTTTAAACATCTGCAGCAACATCAAACAGAGCATTTCCAGTATAACCCCATTTATAAGTAATGAGTTGAGCGACTGTCCTATCTTAAGCTTCCCTTTGGAACTCCTCCTTTTATGGTGGGAATGACTGCTCTTTTTTCTACATTCCTGCTGTTGCAGAGAGAATTTAGAGAAAGGGAAAGTGAAGTCAGGGAAGGACACACACACACACACACACACACACACACTTTGTGAAAAGTGTCTCCCTCTGTTTCAGTAAGCATTTGTCTCTTTCGCTCGGGCGCCACTGTTGACTTTCATCGTAGGAGCCAGATAACGTTGAGCATATCAATGAAGCAAAAGGTGTTTGTTTATCCGCGATACCTTTACACACACACACACACACACACACACACACACACACAATGAACAAGACAGTTCTCCTTTGATGATGACCCTCTCATCTTATCTTCTCTAAGTAAGCTTGTACTTTTCGAGCCTAATTGGGACGTGTTTGGAGAAAGGAAGGTTTTCTTGTCCAGCCTCTGTGTTTTGTGTATTTGTGGACTCGTCAGTCAGTCACAGGACGCACTAAAAGTCTCAAAGGCCCATCTCCAAAATTGAAATCAGCTATTCTGGTTTGAAGCAACCATTTTGTGACTTCCAGTTCGTTTGTCAAATTCCTTCATGGCGGCGTCTCCAAATGTGCCCCATTCAGGTATTCTAGACAGATGAGTGATGCTAAATTACCAAGCTTCTCCCTTTCCCTCGACAGCTCCTCGAAAGGAGGACAGCCGCTGAAGAAGGTCATGCTGCTTGTTGTATTTTAGGAAACGTGCGCCCGGGGTGTGTGGCGCGCACACATTTGTTGACTAATGTTGAAAGACGAAAGAGGGGGAGGCACATTGGGAACTTGGTGGATGTCCAATGTGAATGTCGGTCAGAGTGCAGACGCAACTTTACTTTCTGACCTTGTTTCATACATGAAGGCATTTAAAGAGGAAAGTCATACTCTGGTCCCACTGTAAAACTAAAGCATGGTTAGTTTCTAGTTTTATCACAGATACTGTGATAGCACTTGTGACACACACACACACACACACACACACACACACACACACACACACACACACACACACCTCTCTTTCGTGCTCAGACCCTCCGACTTCCTTAACATATTGCCAGGGTGTCATCAGAGGGGCAAAAGATGACAGTTTTAATCAGGGGCTGCTGGCGCCACGCGCCAGGCAAGGCTGCACGTGTGCACACACGCAGTCACACACGCCTGGATAGTCCCACCCCCTAAGTAGGTCATGCGCAGTACAGAGCACGACGTTTTTTTTTTTTTTTTTTTTTTGCCATCTGCTTG